CAGGCTGGGGATTCGAACCCGCCACCTTAGGTGTATGTGGCTGGCACCTTAGCCGCTTGAGCCACAGGCACCAAGCCAATAATAGGATTTTAAAAATATTACTTTCCGTATTATCAAAGTAAAGTGATGGGGAAAAGACTAGACAACAAAGACTAATATCTCATTGCTAAATTAGCGATAATCTCTAATATCTCATAGCTAAATTGTCTACTTGGAGCACATGAGAGGTGGAGTACAGAAGAAAATTCACCAAGAAATCACATTTTTTCAGCAGTGTTTTAGGCAATCAATTAAAATAATAATACTACTCTAGCAGTTGGCTCCTCCTCTCATTAAGAAATAGTTCAAATCAGGCTGGCACCATGGCTCAGTAATCCTAGCACTCTGGGAGGCCGAGACAGGTGGACTGCTTGAGCTTAGGAGTTGCAGACCAGCCTGAGCAAGTGAGACCGTTTCTACTAAAAATAGAAAAACTAGCCCAGCATAGTGGCAGGCACCTGTACTCCCACCTACTTGGGAGACTGAGGTTGCTGTGAGCTATGATGATGCGATGGCATTCTACCCAGGGTGACAGAGTGAGACTGTCTCAAAAATAAAAATAAAATAAAATAATTAAATAAGAAAAGAATAAGAAATAGTTCAAATTAAAGTTGGTCTCTGTGTAGAAATCAAGCCATTTTCTATTTTCATTCATGGCTTTTATCTGAAATGACCTAATTTGCATATATGCATTTTCTGTGCCAAATAGACAAGGGCTCCTGCCGGTCTTTTTCACTGCCCTATCTGCAGGCCTCTGAAGAGTGCCAGACACATAAAAGACAATCAATAAATACTTGCTGAATAAATGAATAGATGTCCAACAGCTGATCAGATAATCTGTGCCTTAATAAAAGGTGAGGGTACACTGTTAAAGCATAGCATGCCCATATTACTAAATACCTAAAACAAGCTAGGAAAAATAGGTTTTTATTATATGTCTTATAACTCAGGAATAGCCCTAAAAAGACTCTGATTCAATGGTCATTCTAGCTTGGCTGCTAAAAACATTTACTCTGATTACTGGAAAAAGGATCTGAATCCTTAAAATGAAATACATAGTCTAGAAAATTCGGGTTCTATTGGAGATACGTAACATCAATGAGCAGAAAGGAAAAAACAAACAGAGATAGTTGGACCTGTGCACAGTATTTTAAGAAAAGACTCTTAGTCGTTGGAAGGTGACCTGAGGAAATAAAATCTGCTATTGCTGTTCCTGTAGTATCAGCATTTACTGAGCTCTAGCTATGCTGAGCACTTCACACAGCTGGTCGTCTCTTTTGGTCTTTTTAACAATCCTATGAGGTCAGAGAGGTCAAATTACTTGCCCAAGGTCAGAGCTAGTAAGTGTCTGAGCTAGTTCTGAATGCAGATTCCTGTCGCTAAAGCTAAAACTCCCCTTTGTTAGGTTTTACTCCTTCCTGAGTAATACAAAGAATGCAAACATTCCAAAGTTCCGTTTTAACTGGCCTTCACCAATCATCAGCATCTGATGAATCACCCCAGATGCTTTCCTAGTCCCCCCAGTCCTTTTGAGGAGCTTATACAAGTCTATGTGCCCAAGCAAAATTAATATTTAATGTATAGGCTGGGGAAAAAGCAGTGATTTACTAAATACTTACTATCTGGGTGTTTTATACGTGTCTATCTTATCTCATTTAATCCCCCAACAGCTCTATGAAAAGGCTGTGCTCTTTTTTTTTTTTGAAGTTTTGGCCAGGGCTGGGTTTGAACCTGCCACCCCCAGGCGCCTTACTCCTTGAGGCATAGGCACCACCCTAAAAAGGCTAAGCTCTTTCCACTGTACCTTGGGGGTGGGAGACCCTAAGGCCTTCTGTAACATATCGCTTAATGAAGGGTTAATACTGAGCACTCCAGTGCTGAGAGGGCAGGAAAAAGGAATAAAATAAAAGAATAATGCCATGTTATATTAATCTAAGGGGGCTTCCTTGAGACCTGCTACGTGAGTTGTTTGCAAGGAAAGGAGGGAGGGGCAGAACTCAGGGAGCAGATACTAACAGGTATCCAGATGGCAAGAAAAAGATGATGAAAAATGCACAAAATCGCAAAGTCCTTAATAGAATCAGGTACATAACCATTACCAAGCTCCTCGAGTACAAGCAAATGAAATACATTTAAGTACATTTTACTTCATTAACAATAAGCAAACCTCCTAACACTAGGTACAATTCTTAAGATGCCAGTTCAACCTAGGACAGGTTATTAATGCTTTAACATAGCTAATCTCTAACAAACAGCCATTTGTTGGTTGATGTAAAAGGAGCTGGCACTTTCCAGTGGTGGCTTTTACTGGGTAAGTCCATATTTCAACACCATTCCAGGCTGCCAACAGGTGTCCATTTCAGCAGAAATTACCCTGCCTCAGGGTGAGATCCCTTTGGATCTGGGATGGGGCATCTCATATGAGGAGAGCATATAGCAAGGGCCTACCTGGTGGGGACACAGCTTTTCTGAAATCATTCAACAGCTTTCCATAGCATGTTATCTTTCATGACAAAACAAACAACAAACAAGAGGAAAAGGAGAAATTTTTTTTTTAATTCACCTTAACAGCTACTTGGGGACAGCAGAATATTAAAATAACCATGAATTTTTAGTCATTTAAAAAAATTGGCACTGAATGGGCACCGTGGCAGGTGGATTGCTTGAGCTCAGGAGTTTGAGACCAGCCTGCGGAAGAGCGAGACCCCATCTCTACTAAAAATAGAAGACGTTGTGGTCCACATCTGTAGTTCCAGCTACTCAGGAGGCTGAGGCAGAGGACCGTTTGTCCCATGAGTTTGTGGTCACTGTGAGTTAGGCTGATGTCATGGGATCTAGTGTGGGCAGCTGAGTGAAATTCCGTCTAAAAAAATTAATTCATTAAAAAATTTAAAAATCATCACTACTATAATTCCCAAAGTTCCATTTCTAAAAGCTGGAATCTGGATGAAGCCTTTAGCTTTTCTCCCTATCCCGCCTTAGAATGGCAGCTCAAAGAATACAAAGTTATAGTCATTTTTCTGCCATTCATTTGGGAAGGAAAAAAAAAAAAAAAGGACTGTTAATTCAGGAGCCTTCTGCAACAAAGCATGCTGCCCACAGCAGATGGACGCCCTTCCTGCTGCTCGGCTTTTCCTTCATTAAGTTCTCAGCGATTCTTTCACTCATCACAGTACTCGGAACAGTCACATCACTGTACTCTACTTCTCCTGCCTCCAAGCTCTACACTCTTCCTCTCCTCTCAAAATGAGCCTGAATATTTAAATACTCTTTCAGAGAAAGAGGCATCCTCCCATCCTCTTACTCAGACTAACCTTTGTGGCACCTGTGCTCCCGATGTGTTGGTAAAGAAACCCCAACACCGTTGACAGGCCTCCTTCTACACAGCTCCCGGGTCTCACTGTCTTCACCCTCAAGATCTCCAGCATTACTCTAAAACCACTCACGTTTCCCACTGCCAACACTCAGGCTGGCCATCCTCTCAGCTCACTTAGTGGCAATATCCATCCTCCTAAATGTTCTGCCTCTGATCTGTCCCTTTCCAATTCATCAGGTCTAAGCCACCAGCTTCATTCTTTAAAATACAGCTTTGATTTTCACTTTTCTACTTAAAAAGCTTTAATGGATTGATTATATACCATATAACTTTCAAAGTTCCTATCCTGGTATTTTAAATCCTCCAAAATCTGGTCCTCCATGTATCCTTTTTTTTTTTTTGAGACAGAGCCTCAAGCTGTCGCCGTGGGTAGAGTGCCACGAATGACATCACAGCTCACAGCAACCTCCAACTCCTAGGCTCAAGTGATTCTCTTGCCTCCACCTCCCAAGTAGCTGGGACTACAGGGGCCCGCCATAATGCCTGGCTATTTTTTGGTTGCAGCCATCATTGTTGTTTGGCGGGCCTGGGCTAGATTTGAACCTGTCAGTTCAGGTGTATGTGGCTGGCGCCTTAGCCACTTGAGCTACAGGTGCTGAGTCTATCCTATTTTTATTTTTTTATTTTTATTTTTTTTTTGAGACAGAGCCTCAAGCTGTCACCCTGGGTAGAGTGCTGTGGCATCTCACAGCAACTTCCAACTGCTGGGCTTAAGTGGTTCTCTTGCCTCAACCTCCCAAGTAGCTGGGACTATAGGCACCCGCCACAATGCCCGGCTATTTTTTGGTTATAGTTGTCATTGTTGTTTGGCAGGCCCGGGCTAGATTCAAACCCGCCAGCTCTGCTGTATGTGGTTGGCGCCCTAGCCACTTGAGCGGTGCTGGCCTCTATCCTATTTTTAAATGACACCAAGTTCTCTCCAACACGAGAAATTCAACAATACAATATAGCTATACTGTATAACAATTGTATTGTTAAATTGCTAAGTTCTGAATGCTTACTAAGTGGCGCTCATTCATTCTATTGTTTGTTTCTAAATTACTTATTTTTTGAAGGCCTACTATGGGTCAGGTACTATTCTAGGTACTGGACTGCAGCAGAGAACCTGAGAGGCAAAATGGTCTTCCTTCACAGAGCTTCTAATCCCAGCAGGAGGTATGGGCACTAAGTAGATAAATAAACATTACATGGTATGTCGGACAGTGATATGGCAAAAATACCACTAGGGATGGTAATGGGGATTTGATTTTTTAAAGGGTGGTTAAGGGAAGGCTCACTTAGAAGGCTGCATCTGGGCAGAGATCCAAAGAAGCTGCAGGAAAAGGCCTGAGGATCTCTGGGGGTCGATAATCTCAGGCAAAGTGAACAGTGAGTAGAAAGCCTCCAAACCAGAAGCACCCCACATTCAATCAAGCAACAGCAAGGAGGCCTGTGTTACTTGAGCAAAGTATGGGATAAAGTGGTAAAACACGGAACTGTGGCCAGATCACACGATGCCATCATACAAGCTCTGCTTTTACTTGCAATGAGCTGAAAGCCATTGGAGAGTTTTGAGCAGAGAATGGGTAACAATCTGACTTAATTTTAAAATGATCACTCTGGGCCAGATGTGGAGGCTCAAGCTTGTAATCTTATCACTCTGGGAGGCCAAGGCAGGTGAAATCACTTGAGCTCAAAGGAGTTGGAGATCACCCTAGACAAGAGCGAGACCCCGTCTCTGAAAATAGCCAGGCGTTATATGGCAGGTGCCTGTAGCCCCAGCTACTTGGGAGGCTGAGGAAAGAGGATCATTTGAGCCCAGGAGTTTGAAGTTGCTGTGAGCTATAATGCCACATCATTCTACCAAGGGTGACAAAGTGAGACTCTGTCTCAAAAAAAAAAGCCAAACAAAAAACTAGTCAATTAAGCAGCTAGATATAAGATATATACTTTGGAGTTCAGAAGACATAAATCTGGGAGTCATCATTGTAAGACTGTTTTTAAAGCATGAGCCTAGATGAAAAACCCAGGGAGTGAATGCACATAGAAACTAAAGTTTGGAACATTTCAATGCTGGGAGAATAAGGAAGTCTAATATTATGAGGGCTGGGATATTGAATTTAGCTGTGTAGTAGATATTGGTGACCTTGATAATAACAGTTTTGGGATAGTGATGAAGACAAAAGATGACTAAAGTGGGTTCAAGAAAAATGAGAAGAACTGGTGATAGTCCCAGCTACTTGGGAGGCTGAGGCAAGAGAATTGCCTAAGCCCAGGAGCTGGAAGTTGCTGTGAGCTGTGACGCCACAGCACTCTACCTAGGGTAATAAAGTGAAACTCTGTCTCTAAAAAAAAAAAAAAGAAAAGAAAATAGGTACCACTTACTAGTCCATTTACAGATAAGAAAGTCAAATCTCAGAGACATTAAATAACCTGTTCAAGGTCAGAATCTGTAAATGGGGCTTGGTGCCTATAGCTCAACTGGCTAAGGCGCCAGCCACATACACCTAAGGTGGCAGGTTCAAATCCCCAGCCCGGACCTGCCAAACAACAATGACGGCTGCAACCAAAAAATAGCCGGGCGTTGTGGCGGGAGCCTGTGGTCCCAGCTACTTGGGAGGCGGAGGCAGGCGACTCGCTTGAGCCCAGGAGTTGGAGGTTGCTGTGAGCTGTAATGCCACGGCACTCTACCCAGAGGGACAGCTTGAGGCTCTGTCTCAAAAAAAAAAAAGAATCTGTGAATGGCAAGGCCAGGAGCCCAACCCAAGTTTGCTAATTCCAAAGTTTAAGATTGGCAACTCTGTGGTGGAGCCTCCAAATCTCTGCAAAGAGGTGGCTTTAACCTGCTCCCCAGGATTCACAGGTTCTTTAACAAGGTCCTACATCTCTAAAGTCAGCCCTTTTGGGAAAAGAAAGCAGATCCCCATATTCCTGGCTGACGGCCCCTGTAAACCTGTCAGTACTTCTGCAACTGAAGTCACCACTGCACTCACCTGAGTTAGGAAGCACCGATCCTTTGCCGTTCTTCACATCCACCACCCAGGTGGCCTCTTTCCCCCCAGGGCCATCCTTCACCTTGAAGGCAAAAATACCACCAATTTTCTTCACAAACTGTTCCCCTTCCTGGAAAGAAAAATAACACTGCGAGTTATAAGAAGTCCATTTCTCTGGCTTTCTCCCCAAGCAAATTAATTTTAAATAGATACATGATGTGAGCAGCTGGGCCAGAGGGCAGTTCCCAAGGTCCCTTGGGATCCTTCACCCGGAAAAGTCTGAAAGGCGACCAGGCAACAACTCCCATATCTGCCAAATCTTTCATTGAAATGGCTTTTTGGTATAACTGGAGAAAGGGACGTGAGGGTAGGGGATGCACGGCAGCATTTTCTGCCAAAATACCTTTCACGTGTCTCAATAATTCAGAAAAGATTCTGGCCCCCACTCTCTTTTTATGTAGGTAGATTCTTTTATATACATTTGTGAGTCCTTGAAATCAGAACTTAAAGACAAGCAATTCTGAAATCAAGCCTTTTTTTTTTTTTTTTTGGTCAACCCATTTTCTGTATCAGTATAAGGAATTATAGAAGTGACACACTTTTGGATCTTAGAGAATGAAGCTGGCCTAAGCAGGAAAAACCTAACCTCAGACCCGCATCTCTGCAGGGGGCCTCCTTTTCTTTCTCCTTCATTCCCATTCTGCTTTATCTTTTCTTTCTGAAACATTTATTGCACCAGACATTGGTCCAGGCACCAGGGATAAGGAAGTGGGAGTCAGAAAAGGACATGGTAATAACATACCATGATCACTAGGACAATACACTGGCATCAAATGACACAAGGGAACTACAGGAGCCCAGAGCAGCAGCTAAGCCAGGCGGCAGGGTGAATAGTGAAAGGATGACAATGACCTCACACAACTAATTAAAAAATAATAATAATAATCTTATTGAAATTCAGGTATTTTTCTTTAGCAAAAAAACATATATTTTCTGACTGTGGAAAAAATCAGAAAATATCAATGAAAAAGAAAATATAATCGTGCATAATTTTATCACTCAAAGGAAAACATATTGGGGCTCAGTGCCTGTAGCTCAAGCAGCTAAGGCACTAGCCATATACACGAGAACTGGTGGGTTCAAATCCTGCCCGGGCCTGCCAAACAACAATGACAACTACAACCAAAAACTAGCCAGGCGTTGTGGTGGGTGCCTGTACGCCCAGATACTTGGAGGCTGAGGAAAGAGAATTGCTTAAGCCCAGGAATTAGAGGTTGCTGGGAGCTGTGATGCCATGGCACTCTACCAAGGGCGACAGCTTGAGGCTCTATCTCAAAAAAAAAAAAAAAAAAAAAAGAAAAGAAAAGAAAAGAAAAACATATTTGGTGTAGGGCAGCAGGTTTGAACTTGGCCCTGGCCAAACTGCAACCAACAAATAGCCAGGTGTTGTGGCGAGCGCCTCTATTCCCAGCTACTCAGGAGGCTGAAGCAGGAGAATCACCTAAGCCCAGGAGTTGGAGGTTGCTGTGAGCTGTGATGCCACGAACTCTACAGAAGGTGACAAAGTAAAACTGCAAAAAAAAAAAAAAAAGAAAGAAAGAAAACCATATTTGTTGTAAATTCCATCTTTTTTTTCCTGCCTACATAAATCATAAATGGGGTCATATGGTTTCGTAATCTACTTTTTCTGTTTAATATAATTATCCCCATTACTGTGCCCCTCAATATTTTTCTCTATAATTTTAAATAGCCACGTATACATCTTTAATTGTAAAAGTGTGCCATATTTTAACAGATACCCAGTTGCTTTTTATTTAGGCCAGTGCTAACTTCTGGCTTGTATCTCAATGTTGTGAATAACAGTATTATACATAAATATTTTTACACAGCCTCATTAGTTTAAGGATAAATTCCTAGAACTAAACCTAGATGATTAAGGACACTCCATCTGGGAATCAGTTTGAGTTCCTGCTCTTCCACACACTACAAAACTAGCCCAGTTT